TCTGCAAGTTGTAGTAATATGGATGGATTTGGAATTTTGGCAATTTATCATGGAGGGAAATTAGGTTATTGGAAATATGGAGATAAGGAATGGACTTTGTTAGATTACAAGAATTTTCAATATGATGATATTATTGTGTACAGGGAGCAGTTTTATGTTATTGATAGATGGGGTACGGTTTATTGGATTGATTCATCATTGAAAGTGATTCAATACTCCCCTCCACTTTATGGTTGTGGAGGGCAGAAGAATTTGGTGGAGTCACGTGGAGATCTTTATGTTGTTGATAGGTATCTTGATGGAGAAAGGAGAACATGGAAAGATTATGAGAATGTTATGGACTACAGTGACAATCCTTTTCGTCTCAGGAAGCAAAGCAGGCCCAGGGCTGTTGATCTGAGAGTTTATAAGCTGGACGAGGAGTTGGCTACCTGGGTTGATGTGAAATCTTTAGATGATCAAATCTTTGTCCTGGATACGGACTGTTCTTTCTCGATTTCGTGTAGAGAGTTTAATGGAGGTAAAGGGAATTGCATTTACTTCGTAGATGGTGATGGTCACGCGGGTAGAGGATTAAGTGCTAGTAGCATTCATGTGTTTCAATTAGAGGATCGTAGCATTGGGAAACTTGATGTGATGCCGGAGTTCTCGGACATTTTCTGGCCGCCCAACATGTTTGATTCCTCAATATAGAACAATCCTGGTCTAGATCTCTGATGTAAGTGTTAGAAGTCGCAAAATCTGTTATCTGACTGACTTAATTGGATGAATTCTTTTACTATTTTTTTGAAACCCTCTATTCAGAAAGATATATAGTATCTCTATTCTTTCTGTTTAGATCATTGCTGCTAGTTGTAATCCTCTAATAAAGGATATCTAAGCGAAGTCATTCATATTTTTTCCTGGAAAGCAAGAGATAGGAGAGTGATAGGCTTCAAGTCCTGTCTCTGGCACTTTTAAGAACAGAAGAATGTTATAATGCTGTTTTGAAATTAACATTATCTTTACAATCACATCACAGAACATTATTGTCCTTAATCTTACCGAATTCATCAAAGCTAACCATATATTCTAAAAGGATCTGAGATTTTAACGAAGATGATTATCGTAGTGTTGGGGCTGATTTGAGCTAAAGTTGAATAAACGCACAAATATCTCCTGCTTATCATGTTATGATAGAGGAATAGGTATGCGTATGATTAGCATTCTTGATAATACTATGGATATTACACCACTAATGCTTATGTCTCCTAATTGTAGATGAACCTCTAATAATGTATCCTGCACTTGCTATTCTTATGCTTGCAAGATATGGTTGCCCTCCTGTAAATTTCTATCTCTTTAACAGGCAATCAGATATTTGAGATGTAATCAAAACTGAGGATGTCTAGGAGTATCTGTGGCTTGAGGGATTATCCATTTAACCGATACTTCATGAGTAGGAGAGGTCCAATTCAGGTTCCCTGAGAGGCAAGGACAAAACTTGAAACATGTTTCTGAAATAGCCCTCTAGCAATCCTAAGAAAAGCATTATTATGCAGCTTTGTCATCTTCTTTTCGTGTTAAAGACAAGAACAGAACCCAGGAATCATCATGTTGCATTATGTGTCTTACACTGAGTTTTAAACTGGAAAGAAATTGATCTGGGTTCAAGACGCAGAGGCCTTGCTTTATACTATCTGGAAGAGTTCCCCTGCTTTTCCTATGTTACTGGGTTTTCTTCATAAAGGGATTCCTTCATAAAGAAATTGTGGCCCTTTTAACAGAGTTAGAACTTATTTATAGAAAATATCAGTTTAGTTTGTTTTTGTGGTTTAATCTGTTTTTAAAAGTGTTTTTTCACATGAAAAATAATCCACATTGATATTTTTAAATAATTCTAATATGTTAATGTTAAAAATTAAAAAAATATTATTTTAATACAATAATCAAACCTTTAAATTATACTTTTTGATGCCCTTAATATATCTTAATATTGTTTAAAGAGCTTACCAATAACCTTCTCCAGGATTACTTTGAAATTCACTTGCAACACTTATGACGTAGCTTAAATCAAGTCTCGTAAATAACATTTCTTGTCTAATTACAAAAATCTAAGAGGTAAAGCGTTTTAATATTTTTTTTTAATTGATCCATTAAATTATACTTTCTTTAAAGCATTCTTTAAGATAATCTTCTACCAGTTGTATCGTGTATTTATTACGACATATGAAATATCAATATTATATATTTTTTGATTTTTTTTTATATATAGAATCTTAAAATAAATCTAATAATTTATTAGGATTTTCAATATCTATTTGTTTGTCTAGAAATCTAGCATCTCTACTTTCAATTAGTTTACTAAACCACTAGTAACCTTTTTAATTTTCTAGATAACTTAAAAAATTTTCTATAATAGTTTTATTATTAATTGTTGTCTTGTGTGTCCGTTTTTTTTTGTTTCATTATTTTTTTATATTTTTTTAAATTTTATCCTTTAATTTTAGCTTTTTATTGAACTCTTTTTTTTTCTATCGTTTTTCAATGCTAATAATTTTTTTGATGTTTTTTTAATAGAATATTATTACATTTTAACTTAGTTTATAAATAATATCTCAATAAATGCTTTTGGTACTGGGAGACAAACTTTTTTTAGCTCCACTTAAAAATTTTATCTTTAATTTTATTTAATTGATTTACTTTGCATGTTTTTTTATTATCATTTTATTAAATAAAATATTGATTTCAAGAAATAAAGTTATTGAATATAATTGAGTCTGTTATTATATTTCAAAATTAAATATTTATATTTATATCTATCTCTCAACTTTTCATTTTAATTTTTTTATTAAATATTATTTGATTTTTACTTGGTTTTTTATAAAATGATTATATTTTTTTCTAGCAAGTGTAACTTTGCATAGCAGTTTTTTTATTTGATTTTATTCAATTGCTTGAAATGATAGATTTAAACTCATAAAGTTTTTTTTTTTTTAATTTAAGGTTTTTATGCTGTTTTTTAGTGAGCGAATGATGCATTACTTTCTCTCTCTGTTTTTTTTTAGATCTCTGTTTTTTTTTTAGAAAAATAATGAGCAAAAAATAGGTTATTTGTCCCATGAAAAAAAAAAAACTCAACTTGGTATGCGGACATAGACTTTTTCTAAGTTCAAGAGCATTGGGTCACCAAGATTAAGCTCATTTGTTTTAGTTTTTTTTTTTTTTTTTTACAGCACTTTTGTTTGTTTTTTTTTTTTTTTTTTTATTTCATACTTTAATTTTGGCTTTTTATTGAATTTTTGTATTAACTAATGTTTTTTAATAGAATATTTAGTTTATGAATAAGGCTTCAATATTTTTTTTTATTGGGAGGTATTCTTTATGTGTAGCTCCACATGAAAAAATATCTTTAATTTTATTTAATCATTTTTCTCAACATGTTTTTTTTTTATTTTTTTATTAAATAAAAAATTAATTTTAAAAAATAAAGTTATTAAATATAATCGAGTTTATGATATGTGTTTTGACATCAAATATCAACATTCATATCTATATTTCATCTTTTCAATTTAGTTTTTGGTTAAATATCATTTATTTTTTATTTGATTTTTACATCAAATGATAATATTTTTTTTCTGATATATGTAATTTTACATAATGTTTTTTTTTAGATTTTACTTAATTTTTTACTTATGTCTATTTCTATTACCATTTGATTAAATAAAAGTTTGATTCTAATAAACAAAGTCATTAAGTATAACTATGTACATAATCTGTAATGTAAAATTAAATATCTTAATTTATATTTATCTCTTAGTTTTTTAAGTTTATTCTTAGTTATTGTTAATGATTTTTTTTTTTTTGCATTTATAAACATAGATAATTTTTAATTTATTTAATTAAATATATATATAAGCTTTTTTATATTTATTAGTAAGATATTTTTGTCAAAAAAATACATTAAAAAAGCTATATATTCATATCTTTAGTAAAAATATTTATCTTATTCGAAATGAATTGCGGGTTGAAAAGCTAGGGTTTACGTAGCTTGCATGATTTTTTAGAATCTATGATTGTGTCTCTTAATTATTCTTCTACTCCTATGGTAATAATAATAAAAATTACCAACTTTGTTGGGAATTGAAGCTGAAAGAAGGGCTAAAACACAAAAATCTAAACCTCTTTATGCATGCTGCTTCGCCTTCCTTTGTGCCACCAAAAGCTGAGTGTACTAAATTTCCAGAGAAAGCATTTTTCTAAGAATTTTAAAGGCAACGGGAAGAAATTCAAAATAATGCTAGATTCAATTATGACAATAAGGAAAAAGTCAAAAGCTTGATTGTAAAAAAAAAAAACTCTCATTTTGAAAGTTCCAAAAGTATTGTTTGTGTGGTTTCTAACCTCTCTGGCTCATGCTAATATGAGTACTTGGTCCTACTAAAATTAATGGATTGTTCTCTTTGAATGTTTCCTCTTCTAGTAAAATATTGATGCTTCTTTATATATTGATGATTCATTTATTTGGCATGCATGCTCATATATATATATATAGAAAAAATTAAAAAGTATAAATTGAATTTCTAATGTGAAAATAGAATTTTTACATGCGTATATGAAAAAATGAGGTAAAGGAAGTAAAAAGCTTTTAGTCATTGTTCATTTTAATGAGCGTGGTCCATTAAATATTAAAACTCATAAATATTTGGAATATTTTATGACATTTAATGATTATTCTTGGTATGGATAATTTTTTTAATCGTATTTTTCGATGGTTTTGGTATTCTAGTAAGGGAAGAGTATCCAAGCGTTTCCGGGCTGCTTCCAACAGTTCCTTCGGAAGATTGCTCCGCTCCACTCCACTCATCCCCTCCTTCTCATGGAAACCCAGCATGCGGGAACTATTTACTATCTGTAGTTGACTATATATAGAGCTCTGGATTTGGAATGTAAGGAGGAGCATGCGGAGTCACAACACTGGATTATCGATGCAAGTGATGAGAGAAGTAATATTATGTTAGATGCGTGAGAGAAATCACCAGGAAGTTAAAAATGGATCTCAAAATTCACAATCCATAATTAAATTTTGGGATAAAATCCATAATAAAAAATAATAATAAGAAAAAGAAAAGAGAGAATACATGCAAAAGGGGAGAGACAACGAGAACTTGCACTTCTTTTGAATGGGATCTTGGCTTCAATCTGCATATCTGATATCATAAAATTATCATTGTCAGCCACTAATTAGGAAGAAAATAAAAAAAAAGAATTGTTTGCTACGAAATAAAATACAAGCAGAATTAAGCATGCATATGCCTGCTCCTGTCTTAGAGAAGTCCCTATTTCACGCTTTGCTTCAGGAGAAATCTATGCTTATAATCTAACACTGCACTACTCTCAGATCCTTCTACCATAAATAGTTTTTCTTGGATTAATTTGGTAAACATAGTTAAGGACAATAATGTTCTGCGATGTGATTGAAACAAAATGTGAAGACATAAAATATCAGACAAGTCAGGGATCATGACAACATTCTTCTGTTCAAGGTTGAGGGGACAATACTTGAAGCTGTTTACTCTCCTCTCACTTGCTTTGCTTTGCATGAAGAGTATCTCTGCTTAAACGTCTCCATCAGTAGAGCATTACAACTAAACATGTATAATCAAAGACAGCATGTGTAGACCAAATATGCCAAGCTAAATCAAGATTTCAAAATTAGAACTACAGGCAACAATACTGAAGCATCCATCCAATTAACGTAAATCAGATAGAAAGTCTACAACTTACTTACAATGAACAACCAGACCAAGACAGGTTTATGCTGAGGAACCAATGTTGGCTGGCCAGAATATCTCAGAGTAATCGGGAATCACGGCAAGGTTATCAATGCTATGATCTTCAAATCGAAACACATGAATGGCACCACCACTCATTCTTTCACCGACATAAAGACTATCATAGAAGTAAATGCAATTCCCTTTACCTCCACTAAGATCTCTACATGAAACCGAGAAAGAACAATCAACACCCAAAATAAAGATTCTATCACCTAAAGATTTTATGTCAACCCAAGTACCCCATTCCTCATCCAGCTTATAAACTCTAAAATCGACAGTCATGGGTCTGGCTTTATTCATCAATCTCCAAAAACGAAGAGGATTGTCATTGGTATCCATAACATCCTCATAAAGAGGATTGTCATTGGTATCCATAACATCCTCATAATCTTTCCATGTCCTCCTTTCTCCATCTAGATACCTGTCGACAACGTAAAGATCTCCACATGATTCCACCAAATTCTTTTGCCCACCGCAGCCATAAAGCGGAGGTGAGTATTGGATCACCTTCAATGATGAGTCAATCCAAGAAACTGTCCCCCATCGGTCCACAACATAAAACTGCCCCTCATACACAATAATATCGTCATATTCGAAGTTCCTATCATCTAACAAAGTCCATTCCTTATCTCCATATCTCCAATAACCCAGTTTTCCTTCATGATAGATAGCCAAAATTCCAAGCTCACAATTATCAATACAACCCGCGGAAAGAGGAAACACAACCACCTTATTTATTCCATAAACAGATATCCCACCTGGCCACTTAAGTAAACAAGCTTTACTTAATTGCACAAACTTAAGATCGAGCAAGTTCAATGACATAAACGAGTCCTTAGTTTCTTGATTTGAAAGTGGATGAAAAGGCTGTAGTTTACCATGTTTAGACTCTCCAACTTTAACTAACGAAGATTTTGCTAAAGAGCAGGAAGAGTTTGAATAGTTACATAGAAACTCCATGCGACATATGGTAGTTTGCATGAGAACTGCATCTGCAAAGATGGGATCAAGAGTACGAAAGGGTGGAGGAAGCTTGAGAAACAAAGGTGGAATTTCTTGATCAAATGAAGGTGGAGAGACAGAGCATCTCCATGAAGAACAGACAGCACGAAAGCGAAGTACTTCCACACGAAGATCTAAGCGTTTGCTGATCATTTCTAACAGTTCTTTTGGAAGATCTGCCCATTGGGACATGATGTTTTGATCAGATCGCTGTCCCTCACAAGTTTGGTAGTAGAAGAAGACTTGGAGATTTTTTATGCCAGTTTATTGATGGGAGTCGACGCTAGTCACGCTACCTTATGTTTTTGTTTTTTTTATTTTTATTTTATGTACGACTCGATTCGTAAAGTCAAACTAAGAGTATGGTTGGTCTTAAATTGGATTTAGAATTTTCCTGGATTTAGAGCAGTGGATTTGGAGAGAGAGATTGGATTATTGGGCCAATCTTTGTTTTACACCAGACTAGGGCTTACGCAAACTATTATCTTCACAGTTTTGATGGACTGACCCTATGATCAAATTAAGAGATTGGATTGCACCGAGGGGCTTGGCCTAGCGGTAGCAGGAGCCAAGCTCCTTCCATCGCACATGGGTTCGAGTCTTGGTGTGCACGTCTGTCACCCCCGCGGTGCCTTACATGCCTACTGGGTTTGCAGGGTGTTCAGTGGGCCGTGGAGATTAGTCGTGGTGCGCGCAAGCTGGCCCGGACACCCCACGTAAATCAAAAAAAAAATTAAGAGATTGGATTATTGGGCCAATCTTTTGGACAGCATAAGAAGTGGAAAGCATATGATCAAAGAATCAAGGGAATGATAACAAGAATGCATACACACTGCACTTGAATGTACAATGGATAAAAAAGAATTCCTTTAGTTTCTTAAAAAGACATGAAAATGAGGAGACAGACAGACAGTTTCCCTTCTGTTTATTTCTTTTTGGTCCCCAGGCCAAATTAAGAGACTTGAATTGGAAATCTAAACACAAGACCATCTTCCCTTTCAAGATTGGACCTCTATGCTCCTCATCCTATGCCTGTTTTCCGCTCTTGCTATGGGACGCAGAAGAATATAGCAAGGGGATCGAAGGAGAAGGGAAACAACCACCTGACTACGGTTTTCAAAAAATCAGTGTGTCATTGAAACATCCAAATTTCTCTCTTGTTTTTATCTGCGTTTTGAACGTGACTGTTAAAGGATCCTTCCCCAGAGTAATTAATCACCTTAAATTACATTGGTGGCGGAGGATGGGATCATGTAAAACTGTACAAAGATGAAACCTGGGTCTTTATCTCGTCCCCTGCTTTGAAGGGAAAAATAGGCTTGATTGGCTTCAATGTCCACTGGCAGAGTATTGCAGATAAACACTATTGATCAACGTCAACAAGTTTACATCACCAATCATTACCGAAACCAAGGTTTCAATATTAAAACCAGATGGGATGATGCTAAAACACGCATCTTATTTGCGTAAATCAGATAACTAACAAAATCATAGCATCATCATACATACACGAAGCATCCAGGTCCGGATTGATTTACACAGAGGACACATTGCTTGGAGGCCAGAATATCTCAGAGAACTCGGGAATCACTGCAAGTTTGTGAATGCTACGATCTTCTAATTGAAACACAAGAATGCTCCCACCACTTAGTCCACTGCCCACGTAATCATCACCATCCATGTAGTAAATGCAATTCCCTTTAACTCCATTGAACTCTTTACACGAAACTGAGAAGGAACAATCCATCCCCAAAACGAAGACCTTGTCATCTAAAGATGTGACTTCAATCCATTTACCCCAATCTTCATCCATTTTATAAACCCTAAAATCGATCGCCTTAGGAGCATGTGTCGGGGTGAATCCCACGTTAGGTAGAATTTCATCATCGCTATCCATCAGACCATCTATACCTACCCATCTTCTTCTTTCTCCATCAAGATACCTATCAACAACATAAAGATCTCCACAACACTCCACCAAATTCTTCAGCCCGCCAAAGCAATACAGCGAAGGGTAATATTGAGTCACATTCAACACCGGACTAATCCAAGAAACCGTCCCACATCTATCAACAACATAAACCCGCTCGTTGCACACAGTAATATCATCATATTGAACATTCTCATCACCACCCAATATAATCCAACTCTCAGCCCCGTATTTCCAATAAGCCAGCTCTACTTCATGAAAAATAGCCAAAATCCCAAAATCATTTTCATCACTAGAATTTGCAGAGACACGAAACAGAACAACCTTATTTATTCCATCAATAGACAACCCATGAGGCGATTTAAGTGAAAAAGCTTTACTTAACTCCACAAACTTGAATTCAAGTAAGTTCAAAGCCATAGGAGAATACTTGATTTCTTGATTTGTAAGCGGGTTGAAAAGCTTTAGCTTACCGTAGTTTGACTCTCCAACTTTAACCAACCATGATTTTGATGAAGAAGAGGAGTTTGGATCTTTACGTGCAGAGTCCATGCGGCAGATCGTGGTCTGGAAGAAAAGCGGGGCATCAGAAATTGGGCCAGGAAGGTTGAGGATGAGAGGAGGGATTTCTTGATCCGATGAAGGTAAGGAGACAGAGGATCTCCATGAAGCACAGACAGCACGAAAGCGAAGTGTGTCCACACGAGAATTTAAGCGTTTGTCGATCATTTCTAACAGTTCTTTTGGAAGGTCTGCCCACCGAATGCTAGTCATTTCTGAGAAGAATAGGTTGACTTTGATGGAGATAATGATGATTAAAGGCTGCTTCTTTTTATGCATATGATATGAGGAAGAAAGAAGTACTTGAAAAAAGTTTAGAATACAGTACCTAAATCAAACAACTAAAAATTAAACAAGTCATCAAATTTCCAAATTCTTAAATAAGTCTTCCAGGTTTCTTGAATTTAAATACAAAACGCACACAAATAAGTGAAATAACACAAGTTTCAAGTTAGATTTTGAGTTTAGCTGAAGCCATGAAACAAAGCTTGACCATACAATTTCATGCTAAACGTCGAACATTACGTTGTCATCAACAGAGGCTCTGCTAAAAAGGAAAAGTGAACTAAATTAGCAACCATGTATTCAACTGTTGTTTGATGTCATGAATTCTGCACTTCTGCCGGAGTTGAATTCATATTAGAGACGAGTCCATCCATGATATAAATTCTCTGTTTTTTTTTTTCTTAAAATAAAATATATCTTCCTCTAGCTATGTTATTTATTGCATAGAAACTATAAGCAATTATTCTAACAATTTAAATTAAGTCTAAAAACAACATCTCTTTAATCAAAATCACATTCATCTATTAATGCATTTCTTCTTTTTATTTGATAAAATATATTTTTGTTTATCAAAAATTATATTTTTAAAGAAAAATCTCATCATAATCTTAAAAAGCCAGTTTATTAAAATAAAATAATAAAATAATAGTTTGATGTCAATGTATGAAGAATATAAAAATAATAATGTTGAGAAAAAACATAGAAAAAGTTCACAATAAAAATTTCAAAAACAGATATTTCATGCGTATTTATAAAATCATGCATATCAGGCTCATGTATAACTATTCAAAAAAAAAATTAATATTACAATGAAATACAATAATATCATTTAAAATTTATGACAAAATTAGGTAATTATTCAAATATCGTTGTTTACTTGTCATCTTTTTTGGCATCAAAGATATCTCCGGTGATTAACAAATTAGGGTTTAAGTTTTTGAATTCTGAAAACCTAGATCTCAACATTATTATCTAAAATACAGGAGAAAAAATCTTATAAACCTCTGCAACTTCATTTCTAACAATAAAATGCATTATAATCAGCCTAAAATTCAAAATTAAATAGAATAAAAAAATCAAAACAACCCGCAGTGTCATTAAATTGGTATTTGACATGAAAAACCCATTTGAAACCCATAACATTTTTTATTGGGCTGTTTAGGTACCAGACCCCATCTATGATTCTTATGAAAGCCCTGAACTTCTTCATCCAGGTTTTGCTGCATACCTGAAGCCTTTGGGCTCTCGCATGGTGAGAAAAGAGGGGAACAGGATCGGTGGACAGGCTTGAAGATTCCTGATTTAGCCTGAGTCTATTGGACGAGTGCCAATTAGAGGAGGCCGACCCGAGGCTGTAGAGGAGGCTACGTTCGTGACAGGATCTGGGCCAGTGGGCATAAGAGTTGAGGCATGCTAAGGCTCATGCACCGAAGGGAGAGCAGGCTCGGCATCAGGGGCATGCGAAATAGGAAGAGGCACAAAACAAGACATGACTGTGGTATGGGATCGGACTGAGTTGGTGATTCGGCCACTGGGGTGGTAGTGGGGTCAAGAAATACGGGAGAGTTAGGCAAGGGCCCAGAGCAAGGAGTTCCCTTAAGAGTAATTAAGTTCATTAAAATATAGCATTCCTGGACGCAACGATCAAGATAACGGAAGCCATTACAAGATATTAGCCTAAACAGAGGCTGATTATGATTATTTTTTAAAATATTTTATACAAAAATATATTAAAATATATATTTTTTTTATTTTTTATTTTTTAAGAGTTATTTTTAATATTAATTTAAAAACATTAAAAAAAATTAATTTAAAATAAAAAAAAATAAATTTTTTTTTTAAAACACAAAAACAAACACATTAATACTACAACAAAGAAAAACACATGAAGAACTGCGAGGGGCTAATTTGTGAGGAGCATAATTGTGTGAGTAGGGAAATACAAGGCAACCAAAGGAAGGAAATGGGGATAAATGGGAGGCTTACCGTATAAAAGCTCAAAAGGAGACAAGCCATCAAGAGTAGACGAGGGCAACTGATTAATTGTGAAAGCAGTCATGCTAAAAGCATCAACCCAAAATTTCAGAGGGATATATGAGTGAAAGTGCATCACTAAACCAGTTTCAGTTATATTACTATGTTAGCTACGACACGGCCGTCGTTTTGGACAAACATCGAATGAAGCTCGAGGACAATTATTAGATAAAGCAGAAAATTAAAGATTGATGTCCACGCTTAAGTGCATAAAAACCATTCTCAAGCTGTCCGGTTGCCATCCCCCTTCTTGTGATTTGATTCTGTATAATAAAGCGGTCATCGGTAAAGGTGATAGAAAAAGGAAAATCAGAGTTAAGTTTAGTAATGAAAATCAGATTTTTGGTTTAGCCAGGCAGAACCCTGAGACATCCTTTAGGGACATATGGTATTAGTATGAGAAATGGGAAGAGAGGCACCATTACTGACAATAACATAATCCTTACCAGTGTCCGTATCAGACTTGTCCAACTGAGCAGAATCATTAGTCATGT